CATTTTCAAGACCTCGGTCACAGTTTTTCACTATACGGACCTCACAGCCGGCAAATAACACATATATATAATAAACAGAATATTACATGCCCGCTTGTGGATACGAATTTTATCTTCTCGTGTTCAAGTCGATATCTTACGAGTGAGCGCAGGCCGGGTTGTTCGGAACTGAGCCGGTTAACGCTAACCCAGGATTAAACCAAATCAAAATTCTCACTTATCCTGGGTTAGCTTCATCAGGCTTTGAACAACCCTGCCCAGGAGCTGCGCTTTTAGGCTTGGCTAAATCTATATATTAGTTAGGTCTATGATCAATATCTCACAGTATATATACCACCATGAGTCAGATCAGGGCATCAGGCCAGAGCGAATTGCATTCGTAATCTACCGGAAGTGTAACGCTTGCATTCTGTTCACTCAGTTTGCATTTTATCGTTAGGATGACCGTAGCCTATGCACAGGCTAGTATTAGAGCGTAGTCTAAACTTAGTCTAAATACGCGAATTACCCGGAACTTGTTCTCGCTGATTTCGATTCCTCTGTTGTCGATATTATTTCATTCCAAGCAATAAGGCAACAAACAACAGATTTAAGCTTCAGTTGTCTTAAATACAGGGCCGCTTAAAATGACATGGGATTCGAAACTGTGTGACAATCTGTTTTACGAAAACCCCTTTGATAAAGGGTTGTAAGTCCCAAAAAACTCAACGGAACCATAATATAGGTAAAATCGGCTCACAATTAATGAGCCGATTAAAAGCAATCATATAATGCCCCCTTCTATGCCTTGCATACGGCTGGCGCGCCTAAAATTTGAATTGACTAATCAGGATTCAGCAGGCGGGAAAAACTTTACTGTTCTGACGTCAATGTACGTTAGCAGGAAAGGCATCAGGCATTTTTTTCTCACTGGAGATGGCATTAAATACTCACGAAAAGGGATTTACAATTCCCAAAAACATATCAGATTGTAAAAAGTGAAAAATATGAAACATTTTGTGTCTCTAAGCTTCTGTTTTGGCGCTAAAAATGGGTCGCCGGTGTCCAGCATTGCAACTCGCCAGTAGTTCGTCGAGTTTCGCCAGGTGGGATAATAGTTGTCTTATTTTGAACAAAATATGCCGTTCCTCGTCAAATTAAACCCGGAATTCTCAAGTTAACTATTTGAACAGGCCCAACAATGTACATGTATGAAATAATGGAGTTTAATTTTACACGCGGATTTTCAGTCGTGCCGCCGTTGAGGATAACATTATTTCTCTAATAATTTTGTTGCGCTTTGTTTTTCAAAAGGATCGGACAGATTTTATCGACACTTTATGGGAGATGTGGTTTGAACCTGTTCCTCCTAACTCTAACCAACCCGGCAAAGGCTTTCAACATGTATTCATTGGTAGGTACTGTGGTCAACAGTTGTAAATTTGTTAATCTAGACCCTGCTTTCAAAGATTCAGAGTAGTTCCTGGTCAACGATGTCGTGACGAAGGTCTTCATTGATCATGAATTAGACAATTAAAGAATACGGTACCTTGAAAACAAAGCACGTTTCAATCACGTGACCAGCGACGTAACGACCACAAAGTTGCAAAAAGTATCTGTATAGAGTGCATATTTTTATCATTGTGGTTTGGTATGTTTATTTTTCCGGCTTCCATTTCTACTGTAAAGTTCTAATCAATAAATTAAATTAAATTATATTTACCAACTCGCAACTTTAAGTTTCTGTACGTTCTAACCAAGAAAAGATATACCTTTCCTTCTAGTCTTCCACTTTTTACCCTAAGACGAATAGCCCCCTTTTAATTGTGAGATGGCAGACGTTGCCTGGGCATTTTTAAATGCTCTATAACATTACCCTTTCAAATATTGAAAATTCTTTCAAATTGCTCAATTTATGTCCTCGGACATGAAATGCACATTTAGAAATTGTCACGTGGCTAGTGATGTCATCACACCAAGTTCCTGGTAAATAACTATTTCAAGGCTAGTGTTAATTTCGTATTATGCAGCACCCTCCTCAAGCGAATTTTTTGTCGAACTGCAGAAAAAATTTGAAATATGTCTGAGTGGAAAATTTTATTGAACGCGAACGTAATTAAATAGAAACTTAAGAACCTTTGCGCATGCGGCACGCACCTTTTGTAACTTGACAAAAGTACTTTCTATCTTAAGGGAAGAGTTAGAGAGAAACATTGTGGCAAAATTTGAAAACCCATTCTTTTGATTCGTCGACTGCGCCTGCGAGGGTGGCTAGCTGTGGAAAAAAGGGCAGTTGACAGACAACTAACTTTTTGTTGCTTGTTGTTTACTCAATAATATAATCATAACCACCAATAACCACTGTCTACTCACCATCCAGCCCATAATTATACGTGAAATCTATTTCATAAGTAGTCTGAAGCATCATGATCAGCCGTCTTAACTTATTTTTTAAATCTAAGGTAGTGATTACTTACTGAGGCAGAACAGCTAAAAAAATTGCCGTGTTTCAACTCTTACTTTTCCAAGGTGAAAAGCTAAAGAAGAAGAAAGCGTACTCAGGATTCCACAACTGGTACCAGTTTTACCTCGAACAAGGTCAAAATAAAATAAAAGACGTAACCGTCAAGCCCAATTCCTACACGTATAACACAGAAGTCAGTATCAATGTATGTATAACCGCCTTTATTATATAAACTGTAGTCTTTGAATTATAGGAGTATTTCAGCGTAATAATCTGAAAAATTTGTAAATGCATATGCTTGTCGTAAAAAAAAAAATCACAATTTTACGTGAGTATTTATCAATTAAGACAGATAGTCTCTACCTTTGTTTGAACACTGAGCGCTGGTAATATGCAGTCGAAAACTCTTCGGTTTTCTTCCAAAATAATTTATCTTATTCTATACTGTGAAACGACATGATGATAAAAGGAGTAACATAATTCTGATAACTAATTACTTAGTTCGTTCGCATCAGGTTGTAAAATACGCGCTACGTTCTCTTGCTACGTATATATTTTAACTTTATTTTATCTCGTTTTATTCCGTAGCCAAGCTTTATAAGCCTAAATTTCAAGTGGGATGGGTACACAAAGAAGTTTGATAGCAGCATGTTCGTCGGAACCAGCCCAGCATTTGATTTTGCCATATTCAGTCTCTGCTCTATTGTGCTATTTAAAACAGGAGGTGTTGGACTAACGGACTGCAGCTGCAAAATCCACAAGAGCACAGTGACAATAAGAGCCATTGGAATCGTCGACAACAAAAATTCTAAGAAAGCAGGCAAGATTTGCACAGCTTTCCCGCCGTCTGTTGTTTGTAAGTGTCAATTTAAGTGACTAACTATCTGTGATTTTGGCTGAGATGATGGGACTAGCTCCTTATCAGCGAGGGCTAAGAGTCATGTGATGTAATCTAGCAGATTATAATGAAACGAATTTTAAAATTGAATTGTTTATTTCAGAGTGGTTGGTCTAAACCCGTCACGTGACGCTACCAAAACTGGCGAATTTTCGCGTGTAGACCTCAAGTAATTTCCCTCAGTTTGAATTTATTGTTCATTACTAGTGGTACGTGGTTAGTACGGATACCTAAAAGACACGCAAAATTTCCCTATGATCAGGCTACCAGCATTAAGCGAGTTCTCAGAAAAAAAATAAACGTCAAGGACATACAATGTACGTAGAAGTAACGGGATGATGTATTTTTTCCTTAACTGGGCTCTTAAAGTTACTTAAGGTGATATTCGAGAAACCTGGAGCTCATTCAAAAGGTCAAATGTCTCGATCTATCATTTTTTTTTTTTTTAATCTATACTCGACAATGTGATGGTTTGAAATAGCTCTTGACTTTAATAAAATCGTATAGTTGACTGAGAAAGCTCTCATTTCCTAGCAGGGTTCAGACAATTTAGAGTTGACACACATGAAAAAGTGCTTATGTCTGTAAAGGGTCTCCTTAAAACGGGATCCACTCTACCAGAGAACTTTTTGACTTTATCTGCAATTTATAGTGATGAAAATAAAATTCGATGTTGCTATGGAAACTTTACGTTGTGAATTAGGTTTGTCCCCAAATTTGGTATTTTCTAGTTTTTTTGTTTTCTTTTCTTTTTTTGATAAAAAAAAATATTAATAATATTTTGACGCAGAAACGTTTTCATTTATAGGTCAGTTTAGCAATTTTTACTATTCTCATATCCGTTCACCTAATGACGCACATTTGAAGTCGTCCTTGTAATATTTCTCTTTAATTTAGCTGATCCTGTCTGTTCAAGTATTCCACCCACCAGCCGGACGGACTGTGGATGGCTTGGGATAGACCACCACAACTGTGCTGAACGGGGCTGCTGTTTCGACAGTCAACAGTATGGTGGCCACATCTATTGGTGTTTTTATCCTTCAGGTAGGAAAACCATATTACCATAGTTTCTTATAGTTCTTTATGCAAACTCTTCTTAGATCTACCTTTTAATTATCACCACTATTTCGCCAAAAGCCGTAGCTATAACTCGAAAGAAAAACAAAGCTACAATAGCACGACCTGTAGACGTAACTGAAGCGCGAGCAAGGATAATTTATTAAACAAACTGACGTCAGTTTTTTATGCGTCTGTCCTCTTATTTATGATAAATTGTTTCATAACATTGTCAAAGTGGCTGTGGAACCACGAGCCTCGGGCGAGTGGTTCCGCAGTAAACTTTGACAATTTTATGAGGAAATTTATCATTAATAAGAAGACAGACGCATAAAAAACTGACGTCAATTTATTTTTTACAATAACAAGACCCCATCAAATGCCGGGAATAAATGAGGGGAAAAGACACCGTAAACTTGCCGTAAACAAAGATAAGTGAATTTTATTCAAAATGACGCGAACATTGTCAATAGCTTTTCATGCTTTTTGATTGGCTACTTACAAAAGTCCATTGATTAAAAAGTTGACAGTTTCACAGCTGAAAGTTGAACTTGAAAGCTTGCATGAATTAAAATTTTAACTGTTTGTACTCTTAGTGATGATAAAATTAAGCTAATCAGCGCGCAAGAGATTAGACAGTTATTGTTAAATATTTGTTCGATGCATCGTTTTCTTCTTTTTATTGCCGTTTAGCCTACCAAGATACCTGCAAACAAATGCCTCTGAATAATGGTCTGCTCATGCGTAACGTATGTACTTCGCTGCAACTAATATTCTGCTCCGGTGTAATTGTAACCACGCTCTTTTGCGAAAAATGGCAGATCGCTTCGCTGGGCTGTCAGAGAGTGATTTAAATAGGAAAACAAACTTGGTCAGGAATGGAATGATAAGAAAACAATGATCTGCTCGCCACCAATAAATCCCCATATTTTCCTCAATATCCTCTAATAATTATCAACAGTTTGATTATCGAAATAAACAAATGATTTTTCCTTTCTTTTGCTGGCAGTATTTTCTAAAAGAAGTATAAATTATTTTCCCACTCATTTTTGCTACAGAGTTACTGAAACATTCGTAGAAGTTTCTGACAACTCGAACTAAAAAATTGCGAAAACACTCGCCACTACAGATGGTTGTTTCCAGGACATCAGTCGTTCTCCAAAACTTGCACTGGTGGTTTCATCACTGTTTAGAAAAATTGAAATATTTTCAACTTTTTTTGTAGAAACAGTAGGAGAAGTCAGATATCGATAGTCCCATGAAATCAGCCAAGACTGTACAAATACCTAGCATGCATAAGCATTGTCCTTAACTGCATTTTGTTCCTCTTAACAGACCACAGATGTCACGGCATCCTTCCCCAAAATAGGAAAGATTGCGGCTTCCCGGGAATAAGCAGGAGTGAGTGCAAAGGAAAAGGTTGTTGTTTTGACGAAAACTTTGGTCACGGTGTCCCCCATTGCTTCGTAGGAGTTCCAAGTAAGAATATTTTAAATTAGTTGAATTTCCCAGTGCAAATGTCGCAACTGAACTTAGTACTAGTAAACTAAATTATAAGCAAACTGACCATCTCTTTAAAAAGTGCACGATTTTGTGCTTGTGTCGTGCTAAAACAACGTTATACCTGTTTTCTTCTTCACAGAGGGATGAAATATAAACGAAAGTGCACGGACCATCCTAAAATGAAAGAGAATATCAGTGCCACCTCACATGGATTGATAATGAATATATAAAGAAATAATATTGTAATGAAATAAGCATCGTGGCTGAGAAATAAAAATAAAGATGTAGTATCGTGGAGTGTTGTGTTGACCATTTCATTTAAGTACAGAGCAGTTTTTTTTTTTTTTTTCAATTTTTCATGCTTAATGGGGAATTTGAGAGACAACAAAAGATGAAGGAAGTCAACAGAGGTTGTTTCCCGCCTCTTTCCAGAGCGCCAGCTTCAGTACCGTAACATAACAACATGATCCCGCTGTACGCTTTTCTCCGAACTTGATTCAATAATCCTTCCGTCTGCCCCCTTGCAAAATCAACAAGAGGCAGCTGTGAAGCTGAATTAGTAAGTCAGCCTGAATATCTCACTGATGAATAATGGGGGAGAGAACAGACTTTCGACAAGAGACGATGATCATGGTCTCTTGCTGTAGACTGATAAATACAAAGACAAAAAAGGCTAGTTGGCCTGTAAAAAATGCATAATCCTCTTAACTTTATATTTCCTTCATTTAACTTCTCTATCTAAATGATGTGTCCTCCCACTCCTTGTTTTCCCACCCCCACCCCCACCCCCGCCAACCTTTCTCAAAGCTTTGCCGCTTTTAATTTCCCTTGATCAATAGTTTTTGGTTGCCACTCGTTAGATCACAACCTCACCTCAAGCATTAGAAGTGTATCATCCAAGAATTACGTCGACATCTCGTATTACCACGTGCGCGATCAAATTCTCAAGTTAGCCAATTTTAGACCAAAACTTACTTGGGTAGGACGGTGCCAATTTGGAAAAAAAAAAATAAAGCGCAAGACATCAGTAACGAGTTAGCTATTTAAAAGATTGCCTCTGCTTTGGGTGCAATTAAAAAAATACGGCATCTTATAAATTGAGCTTGTTCCTGTTAATGTTGTAATTGATATGTATAATAGTTCAGTTCAAGCATAATTTGATCGTTGTAGTATTGTTTGGGGCAACTGCGGTGTTGGCCTCTCTGAAAAACCGTGCAGCCCGTGTTTTATTGTATGCAAGCAATGAAGACGATATTGATAAACTGTTGCAGGCACTCGGCTGGCGAAAACTTAGTCATCAAAGACTAACAGCCATCTAGCGATCTCTGTTATGATGTTCACAACTTTACAAGGATTGACCGTGAATACCTACAATCTCGATTCGTATCTCGAAATGACATTACTTCCAGTATACTTCCACAGCCCCACACCAATTGTTTAAAGAGAAATTTTTCCTACAGCTAGGGGTACTATGTTGTGGAACAGCCTTTCTCATGAACTTCGATCTACAGTTTCTGTAAGCGAATTTAAAGGTAAACTGCGTCATTACAGTTTGAATGAGACACCGCATCCTTATAATACTGTATTATTTATTAATTAGTTTAGTTATGCTGAAGGAAATTTTACCGTGTATAAATAAAGTTATCAACTCAACTCAACTCAACAGCAATCTGTAGCTCCGCTACCAGGCTGGGCTAAATTTATATATTAATTCAAAGACATTAAAGGTTTGCTGGCCTTTATTTTGATATTTTATTACTTGTAACGAATCACAGTAAAACCATTTTGTCCGTGTAATTTTCATACTGTATCTGTTTGCAGTGAATGTTTTTGTGCGGCCAATTTATATGAGAGACTTGAATCAATGAATCAGCGCAAATTAAAATTTTATCAAGCTTCATAGCAAGTGGTCGCACATTTTGAGTTTGTTTTGGGAGAGTTATTAACGTTTGCGGCACCCTGGGTGGCAATGGGAGTTTTTGCGTTTCCGCTCTCAGTGAGCGGCGAAGCCACGAGTACAAAAAAAAAATAATAAACCTGTGGCACCCAGGATACGTTTGCTGCTGAGAATTGGGGAAAATGTTGCCCAATAATGAGTGAAAAAAAGGGTGTCGGGGAATTTTTATTTTTTGCTTCTTTTAATAGTTATCTCAATTTTAGTAAAAGGAATGCTTGTTTTATTACCTCTCAAAGTTTAACTGCGTGTCGAAAACAAACCAGACGATTAATCAAAATTTCTGGACAAGAATTTTTGGAGAAAGGCGTCAAGAAGACATAGCGATATTGATCGCTTCCTTCAGCTTAAATCCAACAGAAAACGAACTTGATTAGTGAGCCTCTACACTTCAGGAAAGCGAGCACTATATTTAGAAAATATGTCATGAAAGTTCCAATGTAATTGTGTGACAGTTTATCCTATTTTTAAGTTGCGTGATTCAGGGAATCTAGGAATAATAGAAATCGGAAGCACGTGCCTGCGGAAATCTCAATTAGTTCAGTCGATGATTACCAGTTAATTAGCACCAGATTGTAAACCCGTTTCATCTTATCAACGAAACATGTAAGCTTGCGTGTCAGGTAATATTCCGTGATCAAAGAAACTGTTTAGAAAAGGTTTTAAGCCAATCAAATTAGGTTTCGCTAAGTTTTTAAGGAGTGCCGTGTGTTGAGTCTTTTTAGTACAAGTACACAGTCAGAGGGAGAGAGTAAAACGAACCTTGTAATCTTAAAATAAACTTGTGAAGTTTGCGAAGAACGGCCTGTTGAGTCTTGGCATTCGCAACAAATATTAAAATGATTGATTTTAACAAATATACCTTCGTAATCTAACAATTCTAAGCTGTCAGAAATATATCCTTTACTAGGGTTTGCGTCAATCGTTCGACTGTAAAGCGGCGCCAAAGAATGATGGTCATTTGGGGCCTACTGATACCTTAAATCTATAAATAAGCTTATCTCAAGACTCTTAACCTCAGAATAAGGATGACGTGGTACGAGGAGCCAGAAAGAAAAAAACTACACTTAAGCTTATATAAAGGCTTTTTATCTTGGCGTAAACTGAACATATTAGAAACGATACTTGATACCTGCCACAGATAACCAACTGAAGTAAGAAAATGATACCTACACCTGTAAGTAAGAAAGGTCTTCGTGATTCTGTCCCGTAAAGCTAAGGTAAAAAACATAAATGCAAAATATGTTACTGTTATTGCTGAAGAAAATCAAAGCTGTGTAAGTCATAGAAGATTTTCAATTTTACAGTCTTCACGAAGAAGGACGGGAAAAAAATTGGTAACTGATTCGTTTTTGATAAGCAAACTAGATTACGAAAAGCGTTAACAATGAATAGAACAATAAGTTCAAAAAAGCTAAAATGTTATTAACACTCTACAGTAATATTAGGTGATGGTTAACCTCGCGAAAGTGATAATATTCAGACGTGTTCTTAAAATTCAGAGATCATAATGTCAACGTAAGTCATTCAAGAAATGTTGTCTTATATACAAACATCTATGCCCCCCATGACCTCTTATACTTTCAGAGTATGGATAGCATTCTAAGCCCTGAACTATTCAAAACTTTCATTGAATCTAATCCCTGCTGCCCTCACCCAAGAAAGTCAAATATCTGTCGGCACATTTTCTTCCAACCCGTGGAAAATAAAACAGTGTACGCACGTATGCTCTTTCACAATGCCAATTGTGACATCTGATAAGACATGGACTCTTTCTTCAAGTGCTTAATATTTTTTGTCATTGCCAGTGGCTAAAAACTACGACTAATTTCTTGGGTGTTCATTTTCCTACTTAGAAAAGAGCACGGGTGTCTATTCCGTTAGGACTGCTCGCTATATGGTGAGTGCTCGCTATATCGTCATATGGTTGCACTACCAGAAGAAACAAAGACATGGCATACCATCGAAAGACAAATACGTGTGGGCTGAAATAGGATACCTGAAATAGCAACTGATTCAAGTGTCTTCAATTTAATAAGACTTCTCAGTTAGTTTCGAAATTTTCGAACATGACTGCGTTTTTACATTGCCGTTTGCCGAATGGAGGAACGTTAAATAGCAGCAGAGGTTTGATAAACCAATTCATGAAGAATGCTTTCAAGCATATTTACTCCGAAATTAACCGGGCGGGAAGCCGAATACAAAACACAAGTGTTGGAAAAGCTGGAATGATTGCGGATTTGGAAACTATAGAACCATTATTGTCTTTAATATTCAGGTGAGAAATCTAATTAAGAATCAAGGTTTGAAATTGGGTGTAAAATTTTATAGCTGCTAAAAATCACAAGCGCTCGAAAAAAAGCGAGCTTGAAAAGGATACCAGTGGTTAGTACCTGCTTCCCAAATGCTCCAAATGTCAGGTAGAGTGCTGTAACCTTTCCAAAATTTCAAGTTCTTTGGCTGAAACTCAGCACTGATTCAACTTTATAATAGCGTTCCTCCTATGACAATGTTTTGCCAGAGAAAATAAAACAAAACATTTTTTTTCAAAATAGGCTTAATCTAAGAATGAATAGAAAACACAAAAGCAAAACGATAAAAACAAAGTTGGCGAGTAAGACGTTAATAATGGAAAGGGTTTAATGGAGCGCTTGTGGCCGGACCGCCCCACATACTCACGGGAAATTTAGTGCCTGAACTTTGCAGGTTTTCATTGTTGAGAAGGTTTGAAAAAGTAAATGAAGAAATGATAAGAACAGCAGAGAGCCAAAAACGTAGCAGTTCAAACTTGAAGCCGCTTTGTAGTTTTATCTCAACTTGAAGCTGATAAAAGTTATTTTAAAGCTTCCAAAATGATTACAGAACTGTCATTTTGGCATATTGGCCTGATTTATATACAGATACAATGGATGGTTACTCTATTTATCCTCAAAGTATTGGAGACTTCTTACACGCTTAGCTTAAAAAAAACTACTGAGTCGAGTTTTTTAAAAAAATGAAATTAATGAAAGGAAAGAACATATCTACTTGTATGACGATCGAAGATACATTCGGTGGGACGCGAGCTCTCTCTCAGTTCGCTGCGTCATCCTTGCATGCAGGCAGGCATGATTAACTTTGATGTGATGCCAGAAACAGTAAATTACATTGAATGGAAGATAATAACACTGGCTAGTCCGAAACCCTAAGTTAGTGTCCAATGTCTACATTGGAGAGGATTTGTATTATTGCGACCACAGCGCCACCAGACTGGGACGGAAACATGAGAACTAAATGGAGAGAGTTGGTACCCGCTGTAGAACGAGTTAATGAGGGCGTTTACAAACATTATAGGAAAATCACTCCTACAGTTCCGGCGCGTTTTTCTTCATGTTTATTATCAATGGAATCTGCCTAAATCATTGACGAAAGTAATAACTTTCTCAGTGACATACTACCACAATGAAAAGGCAAAGAAGTAAATACATAATATAAATGTATAAAATGCGCTACATTACGGGAATCTATTTCACGGACAACTTGATTTATTTCGATTTAACTTCAGAGTTTTCATAAAGAAATTGTTTCTAAAAAATAAACTTGCCCACGGGATATTTATTGCCTGAACTTTGCAGGGTTTCCTTGCTGAGAAGGTTTAACTAAGGTTCCAACAAGTAAATGAATAAAAATTTAATTAAAAAGAGAAGAGAACGGAAAACATAGCACTTCAAACTGAGTTTTTGCAAAGTAGATTATGGAAAGATTTGATCAGTTAAATTTTGAGATTACACTTTCTTCTTTCCAAACTGATGACCTAAGTATAGAAAAACGTCACTCCTACGAGCTTAGACAA